CTTCAACTTGTCATAAATTCCTAACCCAGAGCAAGGTCACATCTGGGAGCGATTTCCCTCTGCCAGATGAGGCGTAATCCCATAAAACCGGACTCATTCCCTCCAGCGCCGCTCCACGACCGGCTCTCCTGCTCCTTTTCCTACAGAGCTGCCCCGGGAGCCCTGTGGGATGATTCAGGCTGAGAGACTTTTCACACTTACTTTATAAACTGCAAGTTTTGGAGCACAGCTCCGTGTCCAGTGCGTGAGGCAGGACGAGCAGGGTGCAGCTCTGGAGTCTGCACGACAACAGGCTCTGGCTCCGTCCTGTTTCCTTTTCCAGCAGCACATTCCCTGCAGGATGTTGTGTTGTTCCTCAGTGCTTGGTGTCTGTGCATCCCCTCATACTCTGAGTAACTTGTCACCTACAGAATCCATATGGAGCTACAAGTCTGCTCTTATGTGCTTTTAAACCAGTTCTAGCAAAAGTTCTGAGTCTTGAGTAATTCAAGATACACATTCTGAACACTGTCAAATATCAGAGGGACTGACAAAAGAATGGAGCAACAATCAACCTTTGCATGTTGTGGTAACTGGAAATAATTCCCAATAACATGGAAGTTTAATAGGAGTCAGTGGTTTTATGTTTGATCACGTTTCCATTATCCCATATTTTGGTAGCTGTGGTTATTTTGGTGTCTCATTGCCTTTATTACTTTGTGCTTCCAAAGCTGCCTGTGGAGCTTGGTGATCTCCAGCCAGTGTTCCAGTCGGGTTCCTTCCCTCACAGAGGGGAGGAGGTCAAATGGGGATGCATTATAATGTCTTATTAAATGCAATTAACAGAACTTAGTTTAAAAAAAAAGTTCAGGGTTTCCTGGGTCTTGCACAAGGAGCTCTAAAGAAAAAAAACAGGTCAGAATTTTAAACAGTCAGTATTGTTACTCTTAACTATTGCTGTTAATCATCACACAAGCTCATGAAACCCACTGGGACTGGGGAGCACTGGCTGGAAACCACCTCATCTGGTGGTTTTTGTGATTTTTGTGACCCAGTTTGAGCCTTTTTATTCACAGGCCAAGTATCCTGAGGTCGTGACCCTTCCAGAAGGACTGCAGGGAGATTATATCATTCTGAGGAACCCCAAAGTTTCTGGGTAAGCCAATAAATGCATCTCTTGATTGATACAGCCCAGGGACTGCACAGGCAGGGCAGGAGGTGCAGGGATCCCAGTCACATCCCAGCAAAGCCCAGTTCCTTGGTGTCTTGCCATTAAAGAATAGAAAGAAAATGGCAGTTACCATGTAACTGGAAGCAACTGTGGCTACACTTTTCCATTGTTTTAGAAGGAAATCTGTTAGATGAGGGAATTACTACTCTACCAGGCTTGTGGGATTTGGGCTTCCTGTGGGATGTGTTCCAGCAGGTTTGGGGTTTTCAGTACAGAAAAAAACCCTTGAAGTTACATGTAAGACAATATAATTATCGCTGTCAGGAATTCTGTCAGGGCCAAGAAAAATAACTATTTTGTGAAGGGATCAGACCATTCCCTTCTCCTCTTACATCCTGCTATAACATGCTTTAATTTATATGGAAACAACTGGAATTTGAGCACAGCTCCCTCTGTGACATTTCTGTGTGAAACTAGCAAATAAACCCTAAGAGATGGTGCTGTCTTGGTTCAGCCAAACCTGCCATTTAAAACTAAATGCTTTAACTGTGGGTTGTTGGAATGAATTGTTCTTAGACCATCAGGGTTAGGGAATAACCTGCTTTGTTTAACAGTTTCTATGTCACCAGGTGGCAGTTCCATTACACACACTCCCTCTGACCCACAGCCATGAAACACAAGAACTTCCAAGTCATTTCAGTGGGTTGGTAGAAACCAGACTGGCATAAGAATTTGTTTGCAAAATTCCAGGACAAGCTGTGCACAAATTCCCAAAGGATTTGTAACAATCAAGGGGCAAAAGGCTGACAAATCACATTTGAAGGGAATTTTTACAGTTGTAAAATTGAGAAAGGGGAGCTTCCTCCCCCACAGTGACTTGTCCAGATCAGCTTTGGATCAGGAAAGCCTTACCTTCCATAAGGAATTCTAGGCTTGGAGGGGAATAAAGATGAGATAAAGAAGAAGGGCTGTTATAAAGCAGGAGATCTGCTCTGGATGTTGTTCCAGACCAACCTCCTGCCTCACTATTGCCTTGGGATGGTGCAGTGATCTTGTCCCACTGCAATAGCTGGGAATCATGATTGGCCTTGCAAAAAAACCCAAACCAATTCTGGCAGGAGTGGTGATGGTTGAGATTATTTATTTTTTTAAAGATAAAAGCAAAAAATGCAGGAATGCAGGCTTGGGGCAGATGTTTGCCTGTGCATTATTCTAAGACAACCATGAACAATATCAGGGTGACCCTTATTCCAAACCCAGCACATCACCATTTATCAAACACTTCTGGAACAACATTCCTGTGCTTATCCTGTGTCTGAGCTCAGCACCTGACCCTGGGTGAAGATGTTACAGGAGGGGCTGGGCCAGGGGACACTCAGTGCTCTGCTTTGCCTTCCTCTCTTACTCTGCCCCACTGTCCTGTGCAAACAAATCATTCATAAAGAGACAAAGACAAGAACCAGGATTAAAAATCCTTGAGGCTGAAAGCTTGGAGGTACCCAGAAGCCTTCCTTGTCAGCAGATTACTGGTTTTCCTCAGTTAATTAAATGCTCCTCGTTCCCGAACCCAGAGATGGGTGAGTTGGATTACATGAGGTGAGTTTTGTTGGAGAGCAAGAGTAGGAGCCTCTCAAATGCTGCAGCTTCTGCTTTGGAGGAACCCCAAAACCAGTGCCCTGGTTAACCCTGGACTGACCTTCCTGTGCTCCCGGTACAGGTTTGAATTGATGATTGTTTGGAAGATCCATCTGGATGAAGAAGGGACAACTACACCTGTCCTGGACCTGCTGACCAAAGTCCCAGAGCAAGGTAACATCAGTCACTTCAGGGGCTGTTCTGAGCCACCAGGCAGAACAGCAGGCCCTGTTTGGGGCCAACATCCCTTTAGAGAACACGGAAATCCCCCTCACAGAGCCCAGCCAGGCAAACAAACCCCCACTGAGCAGCAGCTGCACTTCACCCCCTGTGTGATTTCCAAGGTTGCACCCCATGTCTGTGTGCAGGTGCTTCACCCCCTGCCAGCACTTGGTTCAGCTCTGGGAAAATAACCTTCCCTGTTGTGTGTTTCCTGCAGTCCTGGAGCAGAAGATGACAAGAGTGGAGAGTGTCCCTGCCCGCTTCCGGAGCATGGTGCTGCTCCTGGGGATCGAGGCAGCCTTGGAGAACCTGATCAAGGTGCTTGAATGAATGCCAGCATTACTTACAGTAGGTAGCAATTTCAAAAGTAGTTTTAATTAAGATATTGTGTTACACAGTCTATAATTTTATTGAATATAAACATTAAGTTATTTTCCATTTAGAAACCATACTCATAAAACATGCTATCTGTACAATTATGGCACGTTATATATAAATTGTCATGACATGAAAATAAATACAGCCATTTAAATACAAAAATGCCAAATAAAATAGTTACATGTACAGAGTGATTTTATTATAAATTTATCTTTCTGAATCATTAATGTACCAGAGTGGTTTATCTTCTTAACATTTTCTAGATATCTGGAAATTGTTAAAAGATCATGCACTGTCAAAATCAAGTCCATAAAAATCCATTTCATTTCACAGCTCTGTAAAAGTACAGTGATTTTAAAATGACAAGAGAACAGTAAGAGACTCCTAGAACAAAGAGTTAAACAGCTTTCTCCTTAAATTAGGGTGGAAGAAGAGAATGTGAAGATTTCAAAGACATACAATGGTAAAAAACCCCAAGTGTAACTGTCTGGAGTAACTTTGTTCCACAGTGGAAGTGTTGAGACAGCTTAAACTACCCCAGAGAGGCCCTCCTGGGAAGAGGTGGGTGAGTTACCTCCTGCCCACTGCAGCACTTCCTGCTTCCAGGGGGAAATTCTGGGAGGTAACATGTTACCAAAGCATCATATGTCATACATTCATCCCTGAAGAAACAAAATGGATCAGACTGATGTCTTGCCTCTCCCTTCACTTCCATCAGATGTGCCATCAGCCCATGTGGGAACTCTCTGTGTTTTCCAAGAGTTCCTGCTCTCTCCATCCCAACCAAATGACCATATCCACCCCAAACTGATACAACTGAAGTCAGGTCCTTCTTGGGGAGGGAGTAACAGTTCCTGGAACCAAGGGCCCAAACCCACAAACTCTGGGCTCTCAAGTGACAGTAAGAGACTCCTTTCCAAGGCCAGAGCTGCTGGAGCCACCCCAGCACAAGGGATGGCAAAACACTGTACAGCAATGGGGAAACTGGAGAAATCAAGAACTGAAGCAACAGTATCTTTATAATGCCATAAATGTAACAATCCACTGTTTGATCACTTAAACAGTCTCCCACTGTTCTAGTGGGTCAGGAAAAACTGCCAAACTCTACAGCTGAGCCACACCAGAGATTGGGTTCTGACAAACAGCAACTCTCTAAGGAAATCTCTCATTAGATAAGGCCAGGCTAATTTCAAGTCTAGAGTCCAGCAGACAGGCAAAATTCATTGCAACTTATCCACTGCCATGGAACTGGTTTAGCTGGTTTTGTGTAACCTTTAGTTCAGTTCATCTTTAGCTCCTTCTTGCCTGAAAACAAAACTGTTTGCTCAGCACAGAGGCTTCTGTTTGTGTACGAAATGTGCATAAAGTTACAGCATAAAAACCTGGGAACTTCCCAGCTGTGGATGGTCCTTCCTTCCTCCTCTTTCTAACAGCTGGAGGGTTTCTGGATTTAGAAGTGGCTCTCTCTCCCCCCAGATTTTGTTTGGAAAGAAAGGATTATTCCCACTGTGAGCTACCAGGTTATTGCACTGTTGCAGTATAACATCTCACATCCAGGAGAGCAGCTCCAGGCCCTGTCCCACCTGGCAGTGGATCCAAGCTGGCAGTGCCAGCCCAGTCACTGTGGGAGTGGTGTCACTCTGTGTTTCACATTTCCTCCTTGAGTTGTGCCAATGTACAGGGAGTCCTGAGTTGGCCTTTTGAATTTCAGGTGAAGTGGAACAATTCAAACGTTACACTGAGACCCCGATATAAATGTGATTTTAGCAGGGAACCCACACAGCTCTGGACAACATTACTGCTGAGCACAGGCTGGATCCAGGTAACAGCCTGTGGCCTGAGGAGCATCTCTGCACCCTTCAGGGTGTGCAATCCCTGAGGGGAAAGGGGCTGTAGATTTTATCATAGTACCCTCAGTTTTGGATATATCCCCAGTCTCCAGCTCGGGATCTTCCCCAAGGATGGCGTTACTGCAGCCACTCACCAGACTGCAGCTGCACGTAGCACTGCTTACAAAGGAAAGCCATCACAAAAATCCCTGCAGCAGTGATACAAGCCCAGCTTGTCACAAGACTGACCCACTGCAGCTTCAGGGCAGAAAATGAGATGCTGTCACCCTTTCTCTGCAGTCACTTAAAATGAAGGAGCCTGAAAGCAGCTGCTCGTGCTGCACAGCTGTGGGGCATCAGTGTAATAATGCCAATGTCTGACACCACCTGAAAGACCTGAAATGATCTGTAAAACTCAGAACAAATTCTTCTTGTAGCTCAGTTTAAATTAGGGGAGAGCGAGCTGTGGTTTCACCTCCAATAGCAGCATATCATGTAGGGACAATAAAAACCAGTAGGGCAGGAGAGTTAAGCCCAGCTGTGACATAAAACTCAGAGGTGTTTACCTTAACCCTTTGCACTTAGTTTCAGAAGCTTTAGGTAGATACAAGATGATCACAAAACTTCTGGACGCAGCCTGGTGTTCCTAATCCATGCATTTAGTACTTAAGTGTTCTGCAGTGACAGGGCAGTTTCACAGATCAGCCACTGCACAGTTGTATTTTCAGTGGATTAATGCTAAAATGTTATATCAGGATTTGCCAGAGCATTCCCTCCTCTAGGAAGGATGAGTGAGACTCAAAGCACAGGCTCCAAGGCAATTCTCTTGTTAGTAATTAGGCTTTCTATGTTAGTGCAATACTTCAGGAAACCTTTCATTCTGTGCTCTTTCAATTCTAAGTAGACTTTTTGTATTAATTTGCTCTGTCCTCTAGTTCCAAGGTATGGCACATTACCTGTTCTGTCACATTAAATACATTCATTAAGCAAATGCTATCTCAGGGCTCTGAGAAGGCATCACCCATTAGAAATCATTTCATAAAGCAAAAACATTCACAGCTGAAAAATGCACTGAACACAATAGAAAAGAAAAAAAAAATCACCATAACTGTATTCCATTACTCTTTCACTTTCTAATGTGTTTGAATAAAAATAACCTCAAGGAAATGGTTACACTTTATGGAGAACTAATGTGCAGTCTTCATTCTCCTTGAAGAGGTTGGACATAACAGGGTCATCTTTGGCCTGTACATTCTTCAGGTAATAGTTGACTATCTCCCCATCCAGTTTGTACTGGTGGGGAATGCTCTCATAGGGCTTCAGGTCCAGGTCCAGCACAGAGACAGAAAAGGTGAATCTGGATTTGGATGCCAGTACCACAGATCTTTGCTCAGAGCTGGAAAACAAATCCACATTGCACATCTGAGTCACTGAAACCAGGATTTTTAATTTATGTGTCTCAAGTCCCCTTGCAAAAGTGACTCTAATGTTTATCTTAGAACTTTCATGGGAGCCCAAGAAAATAAACTGCAGCTAATGCAGCACTTAGGAAACTACAGCTCCAGCTTTAGCAGTCCTAATGGGAACTTGGTGGGATCTCTTCCAGTCCTTTTCCTTTCAGCTTCCACACAGCTGAAGTCAAACATTACTCTCAACTGCTGTGCCTCTGTATTTAGTAAATCTAAGCTGTTTCTAGGTGGTGCATACAAAGCAACAGCCTTATTAACTGGCAAAAGCAGAAAGAGCCACTGCAACACCTACTTAGGTTCAAGGTAATAAAACACAGTGTGGGAACTGCTGTCCAAGCATGCTGAGGGATGGAGGATTTCTGAACTCAGCCATTGCACAACTCATGTCCATCACCAACACTTCACTCAGGAACTGCAGGGCACATGCAGAAAACAGTATTCTCCAAAAATACAAGAGTCTAGTAAACCAACTCCCCCCTGCAGACTATGACTGCTGACACAAGCCAAAATGGATGGCATTGCAGCAAAGCCTCCTGCCTGACAGTCACAGATGTCACCTCTCGATTATTGCCTTGGTTTTACTCTAATTAGGCCATTAAAGGCAACTCAGCTTGAAAGATCTTTCATATGAGGACACCAAGGCAGAAAAACTGCACCTGTTTAAAACCACATAGAGCTACTATAAACAGTCAATTCAAAGTTCAAGAAGAGCATGAATATAAAACCTTAACCCTTCTGATCAACTTAAAACTCTTCAGAAACAGACATGGGTTCTAAAAGCCTCAAATCAGAACTCTATTAATATGTTCACAGCCAAATATTTGGACACATCCCTCCCCCAACCCCCGCACTTTTTTTTAATTACTGAGTTGACTGAACTGTGCAAACAACATCTCCAATTTCTAAACAACTGGAGCCATTCCAAAGCAGGTACAGGCAGCTCTTACCATTCATCCTGCAGACAGGGGGAAAGGGCAATCATGATGGAGCAGTCTTTAGCAGTCATGGCTATTCTGTACTGCTGCACCTGTGCAACAGAGAAATAATGCACATTTTCTCTTATGCTTCTGTTTGCCTGTAGTAAAGCATCCTGTTCCTTACAGAAGGCACCAGTGTGCTCCCTGTACTGGGATGTTGGCACTGTAAGAGCTGGAAATCATCTCCGTAACAGACGGTTGGCAGGAGCAGGGGGGTTTGCAGCATCCTGTATAAGAACCATGTTTATTTCCTACAGATGATTTTCTGCTGGCCAAACCAGCACCAGTTCATGAAAATGCTTCCTCAGTCTAGAGAGCAAATAAACAGCTTTATTTTTTTCTTAAGAACTGGTGCTACACATCTGTTTTTAACTGCTCCTGCTATAGAGATGCACCCTGGCACATGGGAGAACTTTAACTGTCCAGATCCTGATGAGCCAGTGGTGCTGCCTCCATCCATTATCCACCCCTTTCAGTGAGACAAGTGTTAATTAACACTGCCAGAGTGAGCCAGGTGTTAATTAACACTGCCAGAGCAAACAACCCTCCCCAGAAGTACCTTTGTTAAGGCGAACGCCACCGTCCCGTCATCCTCCGTGGAAAGATCCAGCAGCTTCTCGTAAAACGCCTCATTGTAAGGTCCATCTATCTGTAATGTACTTCTAAATAAATGTTAAAAGAAGATTTATAGACAGCCAAGATGATTTACTAGGTTTCAGTGTGATCTTTCTTCAGCAGCCCAGACACTCAGATCACAACAACCCAACCATAACACTGATAAATACATCCAAAGACTGACCCACTGCCAACCAACATCCCAAACAGTCCCTGTTACTCTCATTTCACTCAAGATTTGCTGCTGTTTAGGGGTTGTGTGTTTGTTTTGGTTTTTTTTAAAGATGAATCATTCTTAATCCACTGCCACCTGTGTATTACTGCAAGGACAGGTTTTTTTTGCAAAAAATGGGTACATTTCAAAATCTGTAGCAGTTTGCAGGAGCTCCCAGATGTCTTGCTGAAATATATATATATAAGAAATGTATAATAATATATTAGTTTATATATATATATGTAAAGATCAACTGGGAGTATAGGCATGTCTGACAGGGCCCTGCTCTGCCCCAGCTTTGTACCATGTGCTCATGGGGGTGGCTTGGACTCCTTCCTTCCCCTGTTAAACCCCTGAACCCCCGTTGAGGAGCTGAGCTCCTCACAGTGGGGTTTGCAGCACACAAACCCCCTGCAGCCCAAAGAACACTCTCCCAAATCCTTTGTTTCACGTGTAACTGCACCAGCAGCGGTGACTCCACGAGTGAAGCCAGAGTGCCCTCGTGTGAGCAGCAGCAGAGGCACAGCCGAGGCACAGCAGCCCAGGGAAGGCTTTCTGTAGCAATTATTGTTACACCAATAAGCCTTGTTTGAGGAAAAAATGGAGCAGCTTTCAATGCCCAGGCAAGAAATACCATAAGATAAAGCTTCTTGTGCCTCAAGTATGATTTGAGCACTTGTGGTGTGGGTCACAAGCTGGCATTTGGAGCTGTTCTCACAGGAGGGCAGGATGGACAACAGCAGATCCACACCTTCTGCAGGACCCTCAGGCACGGGCTGGATTGCTGCCAAATATTGGATTTTAAGGGCAGGTTGTAGGTAAGCCAATAGAGACCTGAGAATGACTGTGAAAACATCATTATCCCTGCAGACATTCCGAGCTCTGCAGGGACTGGGGACAGGAGAAACCAAGCACTCATTTCACTGTACCTTTCTGCAAATACACAACCTGCACTGCTCAGGAAAAGGGAATTTTTCTCTCTTGTGAACTTCCCGTCATCATTACTTAAAAATTCAGGCCAAAGTGACTGACACCAAAACTTGCAACAATAAAACTGATCTTTTATGTTATCTGGCAGTTCAAGTTAGAAATTCAGAATGTGCAATGCCATGAAGGAAGGTTGTACAACATAACAAGACAGAGCCAGTCTTGCCTGCACACCTGGTTACTCAGAACTGAAAAGAAAAGCCATCAAGTCTTACCTCTCTTCAGGAAATTCCTCCAAGTACTGTTCAACTCTACTGTACAAAGGATAGAGTCCTTCAATATCCAGCATGTCAAGCATCTGAGCCTGAAGGGTTTTATAAAGGAGACAACCCCTCGGTAAGCCAGAGCTTTCCAATTTGTGTTTACCTAGAAGAAAATGGATTTTAAAATAAGGCAGACACGAGTGTGTTCTTTGCTTCAATTTGCCAGAACATGTGCTTGTCCACAACACGAGGCCAAATACTTTTAGTCCAGTCACACACAGGGAGGGGGAAACGTTGAAACATTTCAGTTTCCAAACACTGAAGTGCCAGGTACACATTTAAACTGCAGAATAAAACGCCTGGTGTACAACTCTGCAAATTACCCCCAAAAAATAAACACCAGAACACACCCAACCTGCAATCTACTTGTTTGAGTTCACAAGAGAAATTTCTCATCTGAGTCTGAAGCCACTACAAATTCACTTTGAACAGTATCAACTGCTGGCAGAAAGTAATTCAGCATTTCAGCTGTCCTGTCTTTTTGTTAAATAATATAAAGAGATTTGCACTTGCTGTAATTTCTGTGAGACAGCTCATTCTCCAACACTACAACAAACCACCAGTAGTGAAAAAGGTCTTCCTCAAAAGCAGAGTGAGAAACATGGTTTTTGTATAATTAGAGTAACTGGCAGCATCTTGAATAGTTAGAGCTTCACAGAACTTATGCACTGAGGAATTTATCGTTGTTCACAGTTTTCCAACTCTCACTTCCCATTCCTTTCCCCTCTGGAATTCAGACCTCTCTTTTTGCCAGAAGAGCAGCAGAAGAACATGAGCTGTGCCCTTGCTGGTGAGGACTGGCAGGAGGAGAGGGAAAGGCAAGGAACAGGTGTCATGTAACACAGCAACCAAAGCAGCCCAGCTTCATCACATACAACATAAGAATTCCCCATTTGTTTGGAATCCCTACGACTGTTATCAGCTCACACTGGTATTTTCTTCCATTTTTCCTCTACCACCTCCTGCATTTATTTTTTACCTCTCATTAGGCACAGTGCTGAAAGTGCTCACTCCAACGTCACATTAAGGGCAATTATCTACCAGCCACACAGCTCAGAACTCGTTTTTTAAATGTCACTACAACTCCACTGTTTCCATTCCCACATCAGCATCCATAAGCAAACGAGAGACAAAGATCTGCATCGTTACATCAGACAAGGCCCTGAGCAACCTGTGGAAGCAGAAGGTGTCCCTGCCCATGGCAGGGGGGTGGAGTAGGTGGCCTGTAAAGGTCCCTTCAACCCAAAGCACTCAGTGATTCCGTGGGCAGTCCATTGCTGCCAGTGCTTGAGAAGTTCTTCCTTACCATTCCTAACCAGCTCCTTGTTGAAAGCACTTGCTTCACAGTAGCTTCGTCCTTGTGAAACGGGCACTGTCTTCATGTCACCTGCCCTGCAGGTGTCGGTGCTACTCAGTAGCGTCATGGTTATCACCTGGATCAGTTCTTTAACAATTGTCCTTGTGCAGTGGGGGCCACTCACCAGCCCGTTGGAGGGGAAAAAGAAAGGTTTTAAGTGACGAGCGAGTTCGTTCCAGTCAGAGACACAGTCCTGGTCATCCTTACAGCCATAAATTAGTTCACCATTCTGAAAGGGGGGGGGGAAATGAAGAGTCTTTAGGCACTTCATGAAATCAAGTATTTCATACTGAGCTACTCAAAGCATTGGATTTAATATTTTAAGCACAGAAAAGTGTTCTTAGCTTAACAGTCTCCATACAAATACACGACATGCCCAGTCTTACAAATTGCCCTCTTAAGTTTAATCAGATTCCACATGTAACAACCTCTGAATGAGAAGCAAAAAACCCATTTAAACCAACTGTTACTTTCCCAACTTAATTAACTGTAAGGAATCAGAAAAATACAAGTGATCTGATACTTGACACATTTTCCTATCACTTCTTTCTGAATAATGTCAGGAGTGAAAAGGCACCGTGTGAAACAACCTTCTTTTACCATTCAGACTGGCAAAGGGAAGGCTGTGAAAGGGGACAGAAAAGGTGTGATAGTTACCTGTGCTAATAGAAAAAATAGGACAGTTCACAGAAGTTTAAGTAATTCAAATAGTTGATTTAATACTGGAAATAAATTGCAGAGTCTTGTTTCCTAGAATTAATCTGAAAATCTCCATAAGCCATAAGTTACTGCTTTATATTTTTCTACATGAATGCCATGGAAAAGGGAACTTTTTCGTTCCCCAGTGAGACCTGCTCTGCATTTGGCCTGCATCAGAGTTCCAACAGGAATTTAAAACCAAAATATTTGCAGCAACATGCAAAGTTCTCCATCTTCTTCCTCCTGAATTTTTAAAACTTTGGTCAGACTTAAAAGTCCTTTTCTATTAGTTGTTCCTCAGCAATTCTTTTAGAGTAATTTAATTCCCCAGGGCAGTGGTCACAACCCCAAGGCTGCCAGAGCTCAAGGAACATTTAGACAAGGCTCTCAGGCACACACTGGGATTGTTGGGGTGTGTCCTGTGCAGGGCCAGGAGTGGGACTTTGATGATCCTCGTGGGTCCCTCCAGCTCAGGACATTCCATGAGTCTATGAATTCTGGGAAATTATTACTTATCTGTCCTAACCTGAAATCTAATTCAGAATTTTCCTGTTTCCTTCTTTTGGTGGGGTCCAAAAATGGAACTGATGGGTAGGTGCTGATTGGGTAGGTTTGAAGATCTTGACTGTTTACATGCTGAAGGCAAATTGTTTAAAAGCCAAGGCAAAAAAAAGCAAGTAGAGATTTAACTGTTTACCTTAAATATTTTCAAGTTGTTCTGTGCCTCCTGTAATAAGCTCTTCAAAGCAAAGTGCATTCTCTGTTTGTTTCTAGGGAAAACAAAAAATAAAACCAAGAATGTTTTATCCCAGCCTTTGGATGTTCACACCTGGCGTGAGCTGAGGTCACTGCAAAGGCAAAGTGAGCTTCAAATCTGAGTAAAGCAAACAGCTCTTGGCTGCAATGTTATGCAGCAAAAGGCACTGGCACATTAATAAGCAGCTCTGATTCCTGAGATAGGTGTAAATAGACAGCACTAGAAATATTCACTGTAAAGGTCATGCAGGCAGGCATGGATTATCCTTAATACCTCAGCAAAAGGCAAAGGAATCTGAGAAAAATCTGCCAAAAATCCCCCCTGTGTTACAGATTCCTTTTGGCAAAAAACCAGACTCCTTACCCTGAGAAGAGATCCAACGGGCAATATTTACTGGGTCGCTTCCATTTTCCATTTGCTACCTGGGGAAAACCAGAGCACTGCTGTTACCCACTGTCCCTGGAATAACTGCTCTCTTATTTTAACAGTCAGGTGTGTGCACTGACATCCTCCCTTCAGAGGTCCCACGACACTTAAACCTCTTTGAACACAAAATTCATGACCACTGTGGGCCTTCCTGGTCATTTTCCCAGTCACTCCAAGTGCATTCACAGAGGGAGGAAGATCACATTAATCAGGGAGGCCCAGTCACCCCATTTCACACTCACAAAGGACACAAGTCCAGTGAACTCTGTGCCTGCTACAGGCTGTTTATTGTAAGTCACAGAATGCACTGGGTGAGCTGATCCTGAAAGGAAGTTCCACAACAGATTTTACCCAACCACAGCATTCACAGGCCCCAAAGACTGATATTGTGTTTGTTTGCTTCCAGCTTCCCACAGAACTTGTTCCATCTCTCACTAAACAAATTCACACCCAGCAACCCAAGCCGTGTATCCACCTACCAGCTTTAGTCATATCAGGGATTTGAGCAAGTTTTAACAGGAACCCAAGCCTGGAACAGCAAATAAAGCACAGTCCAGCCAAGGAGAAGCAGGATGACTCAATAATTACCTTTAGATGCTGATGCATACAGTAACGACACACCTTGTGCTTTATCTCCTGTGAAACATGGCTGGAGAAAGGAATGAAGCCACACTTTGGCTAAAACAAACAAACAAAAAAGACTGTAAATATAAATGTATCTCTCCACAGAAACAGAAGCACACACAAGATGCAAATCTTTCCGGTTAAAGGAAAATTTAAAAAAATAATTTAAAAAAAAAATCCAGCACTTAAAAGCTGAATATTACTCCCAGTTATTTCAGAGAAATAAATTATTTTAATAAATAAGGACACAAAACTGCTGTGGCCTACAGAAAAGCCTAGTAAACACCTGGGAATTTCCCAAGTTTTGAAAGATCGGGACTTAAAAGAGGGGTTACAGTGTAAACCGAGCTTTGCCTTATCCCACTGCTGCATTCCTTGAACTGCTCTGGCCAGTAAGTATTAAAAAAGGCAAAGGAGCCCCCCGAGGAGCCTCTCCCCCCAGACCTTGATCTCGATGCAGAGCAGGGGCCGGTGCTCGGCCAGGCGGTAGCTCTGCGGCCGCGTCAGGTTGGGAAGGCACATCGCGAACCCGCTCCGGGTGTCCATGTCCTTGTCACAGCGACACTCTGGGGGAGCAAAGGGAAGCCAACACGAACGTCAGGATCAGCTGTGGGCAGGTTTGTTTGCTCTGCAGCCATCCTGTCTGCCAGCTGGGGTGTGGGGACAGACCTGGAAGCACAGGACTCACAGTTTGGGAGGCTTTAGCCAATTATGCACTTGCACAAATTTGCCCTCCCCGTTACCAACGCCCAGGTTCAGGTTCCTCAGAACTGTCCTGGCCATATGGAGTGCCACAAGGGCTGCTGTTAATGGCCAGCTCCCAGCTCCTCCCAAGAGAGGTGACGCCTGAAACAGCAAGGAAATGCATTGGCCAACAACAGGTAAAGTGACTAATTAGTGTATTTATTCAAAGATGTGATCTTTGCTTACTAAAGCTGCACGACCTACCATTCCTCAGCTGGGTCAAAAGGAATCTGTGAAAACTGCCAGGAATATCATAAACTTAAGAGGCATTATTTTAAAAAAGCCTTTAAATACCCTCTCTCCACGTGCATCCTTTGGGACACAGAAAGTCTGTGAGATTTTAGTTCAACATTAACAAGAACACAGACCCCTCGATTTTCAAATACCTCTGTTGCTAAAGAGAGACACAGAACACACGTGTTCTGTTACAGTTTCCACTGCCAAGAAAAATGCCCATTGTGAAAAAATACATTGCAATAGAAAAAATAAATCCCAGGAACTGAAGCCTCATTAGGCAGCAGCCTGCAGTGACTTGCTGCACTTCACCAGGATGAGCAAGAAACCTTCTGTCTCCAACAAAACGCTGGGGTTTCATTTCTAAACTTAAGCAAAAGTACATCCACCTTCCCAGCTGAAAGCCACCTGCCAAATCAGACAGACACAGAAATATGAATTATTAGAGAAGCTCCTTCATAAGTTAGACAGGTGCATGTGAAAGGTAATGTTGAAGGAAATTCTTTCTTCAAGGTTAAAAAAAGATTCCTGTTGAAAATGGACAGTGGGATTTGCTGTTGTAAAGCACTTGGACAGCTCCTCACAACCACATTTCAATCCTCAGCAGCTGTGGACACACGAAGTTTAATTTTGAGAAATAAAACTGAATTCTATCACTCAATTCTACCAGAGTATCATTGATTTTTTGACTTCTATGAGACACTATTTACTTAAAACTATTTACTGTCCTTGCTGGTTTCTGGCACTGTGGAACTGCTTCTCAAACAGGTGAGGACAAATCAACGATGGAGAGTGTCCTGTGTTCACTGTATGTAAATTAATTCAATTTTTTTCCTGGATCAAAGGCAACAAAGCCATCGCTACAGCACTTTGATTTAATGCCATATTTTTCTTCAAGAACTTTGCTAAAGCAGGACCATTCTAAAAAACATAAGATGAACACACCATGAGGGCCCTTTTCCTTTGCCCTGTTTGGAGCTCAGCCACATGTGAAGAACATGCACCAGGTGCTGCCAACTGTGAAAGGTGACACCACGTTCTGTAGCACTTCCCTTCACACCAAACACGTCACAGGTTGCCAAACTTCCAGTCTTGCAGCACGTTCCCAAAGTTTTCACAAGGTCAGCACACCCTCCCCTCACACATTGTCCCCATCAATCCCCCGTGTCCAGGGGACTAGAAAAGCACAGCTGCAACTGTTAATTCCAAAACACATCCATTTCCATTTTTTCCACAACAAATTTTCAACTTATCATTGTCTCAATATTACACAAAGTCTCCTTATATTCTGAGGTATAATGCTTTTTAACTTTAGAACAAAGGAAAATGCTATACAGCTTGAGGAAGCCCCCATTTTAATGCCATCCCTGGCACTTACCTGGCCTCTCTGGCTGGATTTTCAAACAGAGCTGTCTTACGAAGTCTAAAGGCAGTTGAATAATTTCCTATTAAAAAAAAAAATGTATTTCAACACAAAAATTAATACCCAGTTTTGGGGGGGTCTTAAAATGGAATTGCAAAGTTCAGTGGGTGTTAACAACAGTACACTAAAAAAAGTCAGCAGCTTCTCCCTCTGATTGACTGTGAAGACCTGTACCTGCAATCACAGGGAACACCTGTTGCTCTATAAAAACAAAGAACTGATTTCAATAAATGCATGAGAAAGAACCTTTTCAGTGCAAGTTTAATGTGCACCAAGGAACCTGCATCATTTTATCCTTTTCACAAATGAAAAAGTCCCTTTTCATCCTCACATCCCACCCTTCCAAGGCAGGACTGTGTAACTCAAGTTCCAGGTGAAGCTGTAGCTTTTCCACCCAGGTATCTGATGTTCAGTGAAGGAGATCTGGCTGCCCTGAGGAACAGAGTGAGTGGCAAGGGAAAAGGTTATCTGTGACTGCACAGAAACCTCAACCATTTATATGAACCAGGTTTAACCCCTTGTTTTACAGTTAAGTCTAAAAATCCCTCTTACACACGCCCCTCTTGCCTTATGTAGAGCAATGACCACTCTTTCATTAGAAGCTTGAAACACCCATGGAGACAATCCAACCCCCTCATCAGCACAGAGCAGGATCTTTGTTCTCATCCAAATGCTCCTTGTGTGTGTGTATTCAGAGGTGCCCCAAACACTTCAGTGTTTACAGTGCATAAGCCATTTCTTTTAAGAATAAAACATTTACCCCGTGGTGAACGTAGTTCTCCCCAAAGAACTGTTTCATCACATGTTTTCCAAAGTCTACGATGTTTTGCAGATGGTGTAGTATTTCCTGTGAAGTCTGGAAGACAGAAGCGTGGTAATTTAGCCCTGAGATAATGATAAACAACACTCCAGAACACATACACATGCTAGTCAGTGATTTAGCAAACAGCCTAATTGCTGAGCTTGGTAGGTCAGTGCACACTGAAACTAAACAGGCACATAATCTACGTTTGTTTCTGCCTCAGGGGCTGGGACAAACACAAAACCAGCCAGAGAGATGATGATTCTTAAGTGTCAGGGGAAAAAAAGAGAGAAAATTACAAAGGTGGAAGAGGGGGAGGTTACTCAAAATCTACTCTGTCTTTGACCATTATTCTTAAAACAACTCAAAGAATTCTAGTAGTCCAAAGAGGTGCCCAGCAGGCCTTCCTGCCAACAGTTGGAGTGCAGGAGAGGCCTGGAGTGTTACAAAATACCTCATGGAGATTGGGAAGGGAATGGCTGGAGAGACTGAGACATCACAAACCTCGGCGTGGACAGGTACAGAACTTGCCATTTGTCCCAAATCCTGCCCCAGACAATGAAAAATCTTACTGTAATGTCATCCTCTGTTAATTTTGTTTTATGTGTCTATAAGGAAACTCCAAGTTCTTCTACAAGACAAAAATGCCAAAAGATAGAAATGAATTTCCATGAGTACTGGAAGCAGGACAGGGACATCGGTGCAGCCAGACTTTGACAGCTCCTGCTCATTAAAGAGGGAGCAAAGAAGCCTTACAGCAGTATTATCCCATTCCCAGTGCTCCAGCACACTCTGGTTCTGTGCACAGTATTTCACTGTTATAATAGACAAGCTTCTCTGTGCTTTTGTAAGACAAAAAAAACCACCACTAAATCCCCACACTGGGATTAAGTGGAGGAAAAAGAAAATGCAACACTCAGGTACATGTTAGAAAATTGTAGAGGGGAAACAAGAAGAGCAGAGCAGGAGAAAATAAAATGCTGGAGGGCAACACTCAGATACTGCCAAAGTCTAGAGAAAGGAGGAAAGACCACATCCAACACAAATCACAGATGCCACAGGGAAAAGGAGCCTGTCACTAACAGTCTTACTGACTTGGTTTTATAGTGCCATCACAACAGGGAGATTTTTTCCCCACAGCACCATTTCCAACATTTCCATAAAGGCCAGGACAGCACTGATTATTTAAAATGCTTGGCAAACTGTACACGGAGCTGTTCTTCAGAACAACTCTCCCTGAAATCTTTTAAGAGAGCCAAAATAACCACAGAGTCTCTTCCCAACAGGCAACTTCCACTGCTCGAGTCTCAGAACCAAACACACACTCAGATGCCTCAGTAACTCTCTCAGTGGCACTACTCTGATCTGAAGAAAGTTGATTAACTCATCTTGCACTAGTCAGGAATACAGATTATCCCTAAAAAACATCTTCTACTCTGTCATGTTGCTAGGTACAAGTTTGTCCCAGAACTCTGATTCTCCAGGATTTGTTTACTGATCTGAAGATAAAGTATTTAGTTTACTGTTCCGCTCTAAGAAAAAAATGATCCTAAAAAAATAAAACCATCAATCACCAAGATAAGTAAATATATTCAAATTACAAAGTCATCTATTTAGAGGAAACTGTGTATCACAATCCCAACCCAAGGCAAATACAGAATGCTGGAGCTGGGCACAAGCTTTTTTACCTCATGTTTCACTATCCCAGTCCATAACACTACATGCAATGCCAGAGTACTCCACAGCAGTATTATCAACCTCACTGCTGCAGTGTGGAACTGAAAAGTCATTTCCTGGCTTCTTTTGTGACTTTGTCAAACTCTGTCAATTTTTTAAAAACAAGTATTATGCAACAATCTCTTCCAACTTAAAAATTATTAAAAAAAAAAAAAAAAAAAGAGGAAAAAAGCTGGTACTTAGTGTTTTGTCTTCTTAAATAAACTGTAACAGACTGACTTTATAGTTAAAGTTGTGGTCTAGTTCTCCCTTGGTGTATTAAAAGTTGAGATAAGCACTGTTTCCTTTGCAATCCACCGGGCTCTTCCCTGTTCTTGTTAACACTCTAAAAATTATTATCTTGGGCTACTACAGAAGCACAAGATACATTTTTGAAACCATGCCACTACAAGCAGCTCAAGAAACAACTTGAATCACACTTTAGTTTTACCAGACTTTTTTTCAAGTCAAATAGTAGGAGAAAGGCCACCAAATAACTCACACTGTGTTCATGGGTTCTTGCCTTCCTCTGCTTTACTGGAGAAACTTCTCCTTTGTCCCTTGTTAAAATGAATGTTTTTCACATTCAACTTCCTGATTTAAAGCAACAAAATGCCCTTTCTATGTCTTCTTTACATTCATCCTTGTTTCTTTTACCCTGAAATTAAGCACACACCCCCCAGCTCTCAGCAGAGCCTCAGTGTTTTTTCTATTTCTCTCACAGAAGAACCCACCACTGCCACTGAACCTAACAAAGCCATGGGGAACTCCAGCCATTCCCTTTATCTCTCAGGTAACACACACCCTAAAGACTTCTCTTGAGGGTGAGGAAGTGAAAGAATTTGAACCTTGTACTCTCTTTACTTATTTTTTTTCCCTTGGAACACTGTGTTGACCCTCCACCTTTGCTTCTCGATCAGTCTTTATCCCTGTTAAAAGAAATCTGAAGTAACTCACTTCAGTTGCTTCTCAAGCAGAAAAACCTTATTCTGCCATCCAAGAAACTGGGAGACTGTGTCCTGTTCTTTACAATAGACAGGACTAAAATCACTGACAAAGGCTATTCTGTGAATATTTCATGTGTTTGCTCAAATTCCATGGCTTTTTAGCTACTGAATGGGTGGTCAGCAGCAGACCTTTACCATGACACCAATCCTGAGCTGTTCCTGTTCTGTCCTGGTTAAGAACAACCAGCAAAACTCATTTCCTCCTCAGCATCCCTGCACTCCTGTCCCTGGATATGGAACACTCCCACTGTCTCTGTCCCCTCTAACACATGGCAGTCTCACACCCTGCCCCACACAGAGGGCTTGGTATCAGCACTCACATCATCTTACTTACGTAAAGCGACCTCAAATTTCCTCCTGTTGCCAAAACCCCTGAAACACATTTCAAAACATCCCCTTATTCCTACTCCTGCCAGTCACAGCTCTTTCAGGGGTTTCTTATTTCTCCTCACACTGGCTATTAGTTTACCTGAGGGCTTTTAGCAAAGGGACATGTTGAATCTTACCTTAGTCTGGTTGGGGGGGGACTTCAGGAACCGCAGCACCACACAGCGCTGGAGGGAGACAGCACAGAGGAGGGTTTTGTTAGCATTTCATCATTTATGAACAGCACAATTGTCTGCTCCCCCAACCTACCCCCTCCGGGAAATTAAGGGGGGAAAAAACAGAAAAGCAAGATGGGCATTTTGGACGGTTATTTCACTCAACCTGAAATCAAATACACCGGCTGAAATCAAACACAACAGGGTCTGCTGCCAGCTTTGCCAGCGGTTTAACGAGGCTGCCACTGCCTTTCCAGGCACCAAGTGCACCAGGGAAATGCTCCCTCAGCTCACAGCACTGCTCTGGAAATGTGGGAATGCACGGTATTGACAGCACCACCCTGGCATTTGTGCATCAAAGGGCTTGGGGGACAAAGGGAAACAAGACCCACTTGACTCACAGTATCAGCACAGCATCACAACATCTTACAGGGACACACCACAGCAGCTACACAGCTGTACCTACAGACATTAAACCCTGTTACTGCTAAACTTCCACAGAGTAAACACCTAACACAGGGATAAATGCAGCAGGTTTCCAAATATTTTACCTTAAAACCACAGAAAATTCACTAATTTTTGTAATTTTTACCATTTTTATCAGTTTTTAACAATTCAAAACCCTTCATATTTTCAAAGTACGTGAATTCTAAAAACATTCTCAGCCTTTATTTTTAATATTTCAGATTAAAATATTTCATTAGGCCTTTCTCCTTAAGCCTATTGAGTGTCTTCCATCACAGAAGTCATGAGAAATATCTTTCCCTCAAAAAAATCTTGCTGAAATTTAACCATTAAACTTAGTAAAGAGACTTTTTGTATTAAAATCAAATTTTGACGTGGTATTAAGTAACCTGCAGGCTTACCAGGCAGGGCTGTGTGGTAACAGAGCCTGTATCTCTGTGTGCAGTGTTGTTGTACACTGTTTCAACTGTTTGGATCTCCTGCTTTAATAATTCATAAGCAAGTGGATCAGTGATGGAGTGATGTGATTATCACTTCTCATCCGTTCAGAAACATGATTCTGTAGTCTTTCAAGGCCAGTGTAGATATTTATCTATTAATCAGTTCCCAGCCAACAAGGTTCCAACCATTGCTTTGGAAAACCCAATTGCTCTCACAGGACTCACCAGGTATTAGTTCATTACCAAGTCATTTCTGAAGAGGCACAGTGGGATAAAATGATCAAGATTACACATGGCAAAAGGAGAATGTGCTGCTTGCCTAAGATGTCAAAAGCAAACAGCAACATTCAAACAAACCTTCACAGAATTACAGGTGCACTCACACCAGTTGCCTCGCTGAGGCTTTTAGATGATTAGAGCAAAACAAAACCCAACAAAAAAAACACACCCCAAAAGCAAAAGCAAACCTCAACAAACCCCAAAACACTTCTTTCCTTTCTTGGGGCAAGTTTTCAGCTACATCCACCCCTCTGTGCAATCCAACAGGCAGTGACACAAACACACTGCCCCAGCACCAAGTTAACCCATCAGATCTCACAGATGCCAACTGCTTCAGAATTATCACCACCCAAAATACTGGCCCACATTTTCATGCTATTGCTTTCCTGATTCACATGAGCAATTCTTTACTTGGAAATATTGTGGGTGGTTGTTGCCATGAGGGTTTTTTTTTTCAGTTAACTTAAATGCCTTAGGCTTTTTTTTTATATTTACAGATTGAACACCAAAGATGTACCATGCTCATCTGTATGCACGGAAATGGCCCAAACCCAGAAGAGAACAGATCTCTGAGGAGGTTGTCACTACTCCTTAAATTCTTGGAGAATCAGATCGACTAGATCCCAATGCTCCCTAAATTTCATTCTCCACAAGCAGTGGAAGGGCTTACAGAGGTGCTTAACACCACTTCCATCAAGGCACCACCACCATCAGAATATTAGCTGGATAATAGTCCCAGACACACAAAAAGATGAAAAATGCAGGCTGGAAGCAGAAAAAAAAAAAAAAGAAACAGTGCATGGAGGTAGGCAAATGTAACACATGGAACATTAAAAGGCTTCACACCTTTTGAAGTAAGACAAGCTAGAAAAATAGTGAATTCAAAGGAAGAATTCTCTCTACCACTTTTTTTAATCCTGCATATGTTCAGTACCCAGTTAGTGACAAGACTAAAAAAACCCAACCCCTCAGAACAAACACAACTGCTCTTACTGTCAGATAAAGAATTCAAGGGCGACTGTCACAGGAGACTCTCACATGAGAGCACAGCAGCTCGACAGCAGATAACAAACAATGTCCTCAGTGGCTCCAGGACCATACCAGGGCTACTGTGACATTCCCAATTGTCATGGAAAGCTCAAAACAAACACTAGCAACAAGGATACCAAAACTGGTGTCTCTGAAAGCACATCCACAGAAGAGCATTCACAACTAGGCCACAGCGTTTTCAGACTCCAGCCCGAAGCTCACGGTCCCACCAAGAAAGGCAAACACTTCTCGAGCACCCTATCACCAAACAATTGGTTAAAGCAGAAGGAAGTTAATCATTGCCAATAAGGAGAGAAGCTGTGGGAGGGGCTGTGGGAGCACTCAAAGAAGTCGCTGCATCACAGAACCACAAGGATGGAACACACACAGATCCTGTCCTCGTGTACCCTGGGAAAAAACCGTACTGGTCTTAGTCCCCAGAACGTTACCTGCAAGAATTTCTCTTCTCCAAAGCACTTACTACAGCTATTATTTTAATCTTACTCAGTGAAATCCAAAAAACAAAGTAATCCTTGGTAGCTCGGCCAAAATATGACTCAGCACCAATCCAGGTACTTTGGATTAGACAGTAGCATTATGAAACCAGGACAAAAGCTTACATTTATTTCTTTACAGCTTGATGTTTGATAGTGACCTTATTTTATGACCTCACTGTCATCCAGTGCAGGCCTCCTGAACTGGAGAGTTTTCACAAGTGAAACACAACTGGGGCAAATCCATAATCTTGATACTCCCCTTCAGGGAACAGCCTTGTTTGCATCACTGAGGTTTTTATTCAGGTTTCCATCTCTTGCTACCTTAGTACCAAAATCTGTGTAAGAGATGGTGGCTGTGAAAGAAATAGGAGAATTTGTATAAAAACAAGCTCAACTGCTGGTAATATTGTTTAGAATTATGGAAAGATGTGTATTTTCCTTCTGCTGTTACCACCTCAGCTCACATGGGTTTAAAATAAAAATATAAGGAATTAGCCTGTCCAAACACAAAGCCTGGGAAACATCAGCTTCTCCTTTTCCAAATAAGCAGGTTCACGTCATTTGTTATTACTCCATCATTATTCTAACCAGCACACATTAACTGCCTTTGTCTGGAGGCAGAGCACTACCCTGACATCTCTTTCTGCCACTGGACAAGATTCCCATCTAGCTGATTACCAGCTTGTGTTCACATCTGCAAGATCCACGGCAGAAAACAAGACACTTTGGGAAGAAGCTTTTGAAGTCCCAAAAGGAACTCCACCCCTCTTCCCACACCCGTCATGTCCCTCACTCCACACGGTCTCCTAAATTCTGGCATCTAAAAGCTCACCAGTATTTTTGCAAGAACTATCTGCAATTTTACCTCACAAAGTCACCTGCCTGTCTACTACACCCTGTTGTCTGAAAAGGCACAAGATATACAAACAGGACAAGAAAACCCACAGTTCTTTTAAACTTATCCCTATAAAAGTCACAAGCTTGCAGTCATAAACATGGGGGAGAACACTCTCAAAGACTGGTAATAAATCTTTCCCTACAATTCTTACTGTACTATTTTTTGCAACCAATTAAAAACACCACTGACCACTGCCAAAGGAGATGAAGATAAGAAGTCAAATTTACTTTTAGAAAAAATAGTGTCTGTGAAGGCCCATGAATTTCTTTATACAGTCAAAACTGGTTGTTCAATTCGTTGTCCTTTGAGGACACTAAAGAGCTACCAAGAACTTACCAAACAGGGCTCTAAGGATTCCAGGTCTCCTGCCACCACTGTAATCATTCAACACCACCTAATCACTGGGGGTTTATGGCTGTGCACAGCAATGACAGCTACAGAAAGTACATTCTATCTACATTTCAGTCAAAGGGAGGGAGTCAAACAACACAGTGATATGCAAATACTAATTAATGGCTGTTTCAATGGTACTCAACATGAACTGTGGAACTGTTTTGCTGATATTAAGCTGTCCCTGCAGTAGCACACTGGAGCTGCGTGCACTACATGCCAACTAAAAAAAATTGTTCTGACAACTTTTATTCCAAACCTACATTCCACAGCCCCTTCGATTCCGACTCTAGTTTGAGGGATTTGAACAGAAAACAATGGTGTTCTATTCAGAAAATGCAATCTCTGGGAAGGAGGAAAATGGACAAAGAGGTGTTATATTCACATCTCAGAAAAGACAGGGGGACAGAGGAGAGCTCCTCCTTCTGAGAACTGAGAAAACTCAGGAAAAACATGCCCACCACGCTGTCCAGACACTTCAGCCAAAGCTTACCTTCATGATATTCAACACAAGACATTTTTAAAGGTCTCCTCATCCAGGGTGCTGTGCCATGTGGAGGGATGTGAGGGATGGAAACAAACTAAGTGCTAGAAAATTTTGCAGCTTTTGAATGAAGTACACATGGCAGTATTGTACACAACTGTTGTTTTCCAACCCAGTTTTGTTCTGCATAAGGTGGATAAGATCACACAAAACAAAGCAAGGAAAGCTACATTTCCTGCCCGTATGGAGGAAGTTTAGCAACTGCTCACACACAGTGCAAAGAAGCATTCAAAAATCAGAACAATATTCTTTTATTTAGCATAGGAGTCCTTGAATAACAATGTTTTTATTTCTTTACATGAATAAAGAATTTCTGGCATAGCACCTGGCTTGACATTATTCAATATGGCAAACCATTATTTGAGAGCAAACCCCCCATGATACTTGTTTCCTTTAGCACACAGCTCACAGCTTGCATCAGACTTCAGGTGCTCATTCCAATTTTTTTTTCCCCTGCTTGGTTATGATCT